AAAGTTTATACTCGCTCCAAAAGTTGGCTCTTGGCACTTGGCAAAGTTTTTCCAGGCTAACTGCTGACAGTTGTAAAAATAATATTGCGTATACGCAGCGTTTGCCAATGACGAACTGCCTTTGGGAGGGGGGGCCAAAGCAAACACTGTAAGTGAAACGGGTATAAAAATGAAGCCTGTCTGAATGGGGACAAAGGCGCCCAAAAGTTTTCCATTCAAGTTGCAATTAGCTGGCCCGAGGAGCCTTAGAAAGCCGGAAACAGACAATGACAAGTGGAAAAACAAGGTCTAAACTTTGACAGCCAAACAGAGAATCTCAGTTGATTGACTTTCTGCTGGCAGAAAGCCGAGCTCAAGGCGCTTTTTGTTTGCTTTGGAAGAAAACAGCATACTCCAATCATGCAGGAAGAGAAAATTAAATTTTTATTCCAGCTTCATTTTGCATTTTCGTGGCAAATTCAATTGCAGCTGCCGCCTCTTCCACTTCCGGTTGCACTTTGTTGCTCTGTAGCAACTCCATACACTCCCCCAAAAACTGCATTCCTTTGCTTCGTTTCAATTAGATACCGACTCGCCAAAAAGTTTATGCAAGAATTTCGCCGTATCTGCGCGAAAGTCTGTGCAACAGCCAAAAAAAAAAAAAGAAAACAAAAACAGAAGCTGGAGCTGAAACAGCAGCCGAAAATACTTGTATACTTATTTCTGGAAAATAAACGGAACGGCGACTGCAAACACACAGGGATGGCCAAAAAAGGGAATAAAATGTCAGGGAGCGGAAATGAAATTGCAATTGCTGGCCCACACAGACGACGCCAAGTCGCGAAGCGTTGATGCGCAGTCGGAGGTGGGGGTGGGGGGAAAAAGCCAAGTTTGCACTGCTTTTGCATGTCCTGAGCTGCTGCCTTTGCCTCCTTTGGCCCGCCTTGCAACGCCATTTCCGCCTCGGTCTCATATTGCGCCCTGGCGTATGCAATAAAGTTTGCTCTGCGGCAGCGGCAGCCAAGAAAAGAAAGCTACAGTCGAAATTCCGCCATTCGAAGATCCATTTGACAAGGCACATGTACAAACAGACACAGTATTTCTTCCTTTTCAATGATTTTTCTTATTTTACCCCACTTTTCTCTGTTAAATATATCAGTGACACAGAGAAAGTCTGAACTTAAAACCTGAGCAATTAAAATGGGATACTTATTTCAAGTTATACAATTTATTAAATACCCTTAAATTATATAAAAATATTATTTCACTTAATTGTAGACCTTTATTATATTGTTAACATTTTCAATCAATTGTATTGCAGAAAAGTTACTGAGTATTATAAATTTATCCAAATTGAACTATTATTTATAAATTTTTAGACAAATATTGTTGGTTATTATGTTTGAAAAATGATATTTTTTCATCATTATTAAAATATTTAAAAATGATGTAGCTAAAAATTACTTTAATAGATTTTTTTTTTAGTTTATGGATTGGTTCTATAAATCTTCTTTCTAATGTTATTTTCAAAAGAAGGCTCTGAAATTGTAAATTTACGGTCTTTGAATTTAAGTTGCTAGTTGTGAAAGTTTGAAGAACGAATATAAACTATGAGCAATTAGTCGCCAAACTCTATTTGTGCCTGCTATAAAGTTTAATAAATTTCTACAAGTGGATTTTGGAATTATGCTTAAGAGGACTGTGTGCGAAACTAGAAGCTTGACTCCCAAGAGCCATTTGCAAAGCCATTTCCAAAACCCCACTCTCACCCGTTGGCCGCAAGGGCTTAATCAGGCGCAACTTTTTAGAAGAATTTTGTAGGGGTCTCCAGCTCCCAATGTCGCACACCCACATTCCGCACCGCCCGCACACTATACCAAATATATAGAGCTATAGCTGTGGATATAGCTTTGGCTATATGGCACACAGGAGCTCATTAGTTGGGCGGCAGTGGCGCTTAAGCTTAAGCTGCGAGCGTGGAAATTGCGCAGCTTTGGCGCTAAACAAGTTAATTAGTTTGCCTCTCTTTTTTCCGCAATGGCTGGAGTTGAGCTTAACGACAAAATAAATTATTTGCCGCGCACACACACACACACACAAGCGCCATGGAGACTTCAATTGACTTTATTAAGCGTGTGAGTGCGTGTGGGCGTGCCTGCGCCTTAATGACACTTTTCAGTCTTTCCAGTCAGCTGCTGTCGCTACAGGACGTGGTTCTAACCCACGTTTATTATCCCAGCGACAGGGGCTTCCTGGCTCTGCACAATGGCAGGATGTGTGAGCCGAGTGGCAAATGGGATCTCATCTACGGCCTGACTTTGATCTACTGCATATTAACCTCCACTCTGCGTGCTTCGTAGTCTTTTTTCCACTCTCTCTCTTCTTCCTTTATTTTTTAGAAATTAATTTTTATGTGACAGCGGAAAAAGCGGCTGTCGCCTGGTCACCTGCGCGGCCCACTGTGCAGCTGCGGCCACAATAGAAAACAAGGCGGCGGCAATTGTCTTTGTGTCGCATAAAAACACTTTGCTGTCCCCAGCCAAATATATGTACTACATATACCACTTGCGCTTAGGATAAGCCCGTACAGCTGAGGTCAAAATAATAGGCTTCTAACAAGTGAGAATCCCATCATTATATGAATATATTGAATAAATACACATTTATTATAATATATCTCGGCTGATAAGTTAAGTCCAGAGCTATTTTATTTTGGTACATAATGTATTTGTGAAACGTTTTTTTTAATGAATAAATAACCAAATAGGCTTATCAAATTAATCAAATTGCACTGTACTTTATTTATTTTTTAAATAATGCTGCTAGTATTCCAATAAGCTGGAATATATTGGCCAATAAAGAGGTTATTTCCCATTAGTCAACATATGTTAAAACAGGATTAATGACAAAAACTGGTCTAATGACACTTTTCTAATCCCACTAATCCCACTAAAAGTGGTATTTCTAATCGAATAAGCTGTAAATCTATTGGCTAATAATGGGATTAGAATGCGTACATTTGTTAAAACTATATTCTTGATTACAGACTGAATAAATGACATTTTGGTAAGCGTTTTATTATCACTTCATTAAAAAAATGCAGAGCAATATTTTATTAGATTGATAATATTTGTTGCATAGGATAACAAAAGTATATTTTCAAGAGTTAGCAATATAATACAGGTATACCTCTTTATGACCACAATTATACTAAAAAGGAGAAGCCCACACAGATACAAGCTCGTTTAATCTTGGCTTTTAATTGCACGGCCATAATGTTGTGAGCCTTTAGAAGGCATTTCAGGACATCGAGCCGCAGCAGTCACAAGTAAATTGAATTTAATTAGGAACGAGTTTTTCATTGTGATTGTTGGGTTTTATTCGTCATAAACTTCGGATGGCAATAAAAAATCGAGGCTGCTGCCAAATGCAAATGTGGAGCTCATTCCAAGGAGTTTAGGAAAAAAGAAGAGTCTTTAAAGACGCTCAAACTTCTGGAGGCCCTAATTAGTGTGAATGGGCCATTAAGAATTTGCTCAGGTTCGGCTTAAAGTTTGCATCGAGTGTGGGGCAAAGAAATTAAAATTGAAATGTAAAAGTTGCCAAACTTTTCCCCCCTCCCCTAACACACACATTATGGGAGTTGGCGGAAATTTAAAATGCAAAGCAGAGCGCCGTGAAAAAGGGAAGAGAGATCCTGAAAACCCAGGAGCTGGAACCCAAAACTCGGCACCCAGAACCCAGAACTTGCTTTCAAGTGGGTTCGTGGCAGGTGGGCTGCAAAAACTTGCTGCATTAAGTGCACTCTGCGAGGACCAGACAACCGGGCGGAAAAAGCAAAAGAGGTGAGCGAGCTGTGCTGCCAACTGCCACCAGCTCATTAAAAGCAAAAATGATATGCATTAAGTTGCCAGCGGTAACGAGAGCGTTAAAGGGCTGGACCTCGTCGACCGAACTGAACTGGACTGGACTCATTATGCCAAACTGGCGCCACTAATGGTCAGTGTTAATTGCGTGGAAAGCATTTGAAATGCACCACCCCAAAAGCCAGCCCCTTTGCCAACTGACATTCGCCTGATAAATTGTCATAATTCCAGGCCGCACAAAGGACAAGGGATCTCTCTCCCAGGACCGCCATCAATACATATTTCATTGCCCTGACACATGCATTAACATGTCTAATCGGCACGCACGGGTCACAGTTGCAGTCCGGCCAGGACACAAATGGCCAAATGGGGGGCTTGGGTTGTAAAAGGGGTCCCTTTGAAAGCACGTAGCCATTATTCATTCTGCGGCCCCAGCATAATTTATTGCCCTTGGCACCACTCACATGTCAGACATTCCGAAGTGCTGCCCAACTGACAATTTGCAGAGACTGACATGCAGCAGTTTAACTTAACCCCTGACCCCCGACCCCCCACAGCTCTCAGGTGGCGGCGACGGGGCCCTAAAATTTATTTTGTTTGACTAACTGACAAAACTCACTCCCACCTGTCTCGTTCGCTTGGCAGCAGTGTCTCGCAAACTCGATGCACAACGCTGTCACATCGATGACAGCACTCCGTCCACCGGGTAAATTGGCAAATGGGCGAACCAGGCGTATACGGGATGCACATGCACTGGCTAAAGCCGAAATGAGTTCGTTGCAGGACAACAAAGGAACCCTGAAGATAGGAGTTCACCTCTCATGGAGTTCGTCTATGGTCGGTGGACAAAAACCCAAGGCCCAGTATCCACAGTTGTCGCATAAACCGACTATACGTTGCCCCAGGTCAACCGCCATCTTGCACTTTTGATCCTCTGTGTTGTAAGGACCAAGTCTGGTGTACCATTAAGATTATACGAAATGCGACTACATTGTTGCTTATCAATGCATCCCCAAAGTTTTGACTCAGTTGGGTTTTATTATGACCGACCACACCTTCGTCTAGACAGAAGCCAACGTCCACTTCCTTCAAGTAATCGTGCTTTGATTCAATTTCCTCATAAGACACTTAGGTAATGTAAACAGTTCACTGGGGTTGAGTTCATTTATGTCTTGATTTTTTATTTTTATTTGAAACCTCTTTCATATCTACTCAAATACCATTTTGGTGTTAGGTTAAACAAATTGCTCTGATCAGACATTTTTATCTTCATATATTTATCTTTATATACGTAGGACATTCGGTATATTGCATGCCTCTTAGATGATGTATCGCAAAGCTGTATCCACTTAAGATAAGATAGGTAAATCAGTATATTCCTATTTAAAAAAAGATGTTTTGGGAAGACGTTGGCTAGACTTCGGTTAGATTCGGAATAATCTTTTTGTAAACTTCAATGCCGTTTAAGTAATCATCAGCCTTCAAAAACTCATCATGGTCGTGGATCAGTACGGGAGTATTTATGATGGGTGAGAAACCAATTGCTGGGGTTCCCTGTTGGCGAATAAAACGGCAATCAGTGGCTCCAAAGCACACAATCGGTTTTATTTTCAAGCCACTAAAAAAGAAGGAAAACATCAAAAGTTCTTGATTAAAGTCTTCCTGGCACTCACAGTTCATCTATAGCGGCTTTTAAAGCTAGCCAATAGGGATTGGAATCATCCAGTTTGGTGGGGGCCACATAGGTATCTTTCTGGGGGAACTCGATCTCAATGCCACCACCTGCCTCCTCACACCAGTCACGGATTTGCTTCTCGAAGGCAACCAAATCTAGGGTTATGGGCAGACGCATATCGAAGATGGCCTCAAGGAGCGGAGGAACCACATTGCTCTGCACTCCACCACTCAACTGGGTGAGATTTACGGTGGTCACATCACCGAGGTTGATGCTCTTGTCGTTTTTCAGTCGCTGGATTTGTGAATTCCGGAACTCTGACAGTTTGTTTAGCACATAGTTGAGCTTTACTCCGGCAGTATCGGGCAGCAATAGGGAACCATGTCCAGACATCCGCCCACTTTTAGATGCAAAACTTTAGCAAAGACAAGAGTTTCAATTCACTGATATAAATCCTGTAAAGGCAACTCACCCCAGCGAATACGTTCGGCGTAGAACAAATAATGGACATCAGTGGCACTGGTGCCTCCCTCATCCAAGCCGAATCCCACATTCATTTTTTTGTAAAAGTCGGTTTTAACAAACGCTTCCATGCCAAGGGTACTTCCAATCTCCTCGTCGGGCACAAAGGTCACGTAAACTGTCCGTTTAGGCTGGAAGCCACCAGCCTTTAGAAGGCGAATAGCCCCTAGATACTGGGTGCCCACAGATTTCATATCCTGAGTACCCCGCGCGAAGATCCTTCCCTCCTCATCTATATCGGATGAAAAGGGTTCATGAGTCCACCTTTCCGAAAACACGGGAACCACATCCATGTGCGAGTTCAGGTTTATTGAGGGGAGCTCCGGGTGTATTCCCGCCCACTTGATGATTACCACAGGCTTTGATTTAATAGCTGGATAAACTACTTCGACGGGAAGATTGAGGGAATCAGCCTGCCGCTTGATAAACTTTACGCAAGAAGTTGTGGAATAAAAGTTCTACGAGATCTTGGAATATCTAATTTATCGAAGTCCTTACTATAATCAATATCCGGGTGTACGGATGAAATGCGTAGGTATTCCCGGAAAATTTTAATTTCCTCATTGTTCTCCCATTTTCCGGAACTCATTTTGAAAGAATTCAACACATCAAGTAAGAGTGATACACTAGAAATGAGTGGACTTATGCATCCGCTGGCTATATATACTTTGGGATCACTTTACTTAGGTTCTTATCTTATGTGTTTATGATAATAAAGTGTTTGTCGAATAGCGGTTGTTCTATTTAAATTGTTTATAGATGCAAGCGGGAGACTTAAAATGATAACACTAATGAACAAAATCTTTAGATTGGGGATTATAAACTCATAAATGTGTAACCAAAAAACTATTATAATTTCCTTCAATTAAATTAAAAGTGATATATCTTGTTATCTAAAACAAAAAGATGTAATAAAATCCGAATTAAATTTGATAAGAAACACAAGCAACCACAAATCATATTTTAAGGAATCCGCCCATATTTAATCTGACAATGATCCCCTTTCATACAATCATTTTATTATACTTCAGCCAGATTGTGAATAATCTTCTTGTACACTTCAATGCCTTTAAGATAGACATCAGCATGCAGAAACTCGTCATGGTCATGGATCCGCAAGGTGGTGTTTATGATGGGTGAAAATCCGATTGCTGGCGTCCCCTTTTCCCGAATAAAACGGCTGTCGGTGGCACCAGGGCAAACTATGGGACGGACCTTCAATTCACTAAGAGACCAGGGGATTTCAATAATATAACTTAGCCAATCTAATATTTAAATGGCACTTACAGTTCATCGATGGCGGCCTTGAAAGCTAACCAGTAGGGGTTCGAGCTGTCTAGCTTGGTGGGTGTTATATAGGGTTCCTTCCGGAAGAAATCAATGTCGATGCCACCACCCGCTTCCTCGCACCAGTCGCGAATCTGTTTCTCGAATGCAACCACATCCATATTGATGGCAATGCGCATGTCGAAGACCGCCTCGAAGAGCGGAGGAACCACATTGCTCTGGACTCCGCCGCTCAGCTGGGTGAGATTCACGGTAGTCACATCTCCGATCCTAAGGCTGGAATCCTTCGCCAGGTTCTCCACCTGCGACGTTCGGAACTCCGTGAGTTTATTCACTACGTAGTTCAGCTTTACGCCGGCGGTGTTGGGCAGCAAAAGAGATCCGTGGCCAGAGGTTCCACTAACTTGCAATTTGAGCCCTGCAGGAAAGACAGATTACTCTTTATCCTACCTAGATCTCTAGAGGATCTTACCCCAACGCAAACGTTCGGCGAAAAACACATGGTGCACATCACTTTCGCTGGTGCCTCCTTCGTCCAGGCTGAATCCCACATTCATTTGCTTGTAGTAATCCGTTTTAACGAACTCCGCCATGCCCAATTGGCCGCCAATCTCTTCATCGGGAACAAAGGTCACGTACAAAGTCCTCTTGGGCTGGAAACCGCTGGCCTTGAGCAGTCGAATAGCTCCTAGATACTGAGTGCCAACGGATTTCATGTCCTGAGTGCCCCGTGCAAAGATCCTGCCCTCTTCATCAATATCGCCTGCGAAGGGATCGTGGGTCCACTTGTCACGGAACACGGGTACAACATCCGTATGGGAGTTCAGAATAATGGAAGGCAGTTCCGGCTGACTTCCGAGCCACTTGATGATCACCACGGGCTTCGTTTGGACAGCTGGATAAACCACCTCCACGGGAAGATTCAAGGAGCTAGCCTGGCGCTTAAGAAACTTTACACATTCGGCTAAAGTCAAACCGTTTTTAGTTGGTGAAACTTTTAAGGATTAAACTCAATCTTACTGTAATCAACGTCAGGGTGCACGGTTGGTAAACGCAAGTACTCCCGGAAAATTTTAATTTCCTCATTGTTTTCCCACTTTTCCAAGCCCATTTTTAAACGACTTCTGCTAGAGATTAAAAGCAACTGAGCTGCATAAGAGACCCCGAGCGGTTTTATAAGCGCACTATTTGCTTTAATGTTTATGGTCAATGTTTATTGTTATAATGATAATCAAATACGGTTGTGGATGCCTTATCAGCAAAAACCACTCAGCTGTTACCGAAAATAGTGACTACATTTCTAGGAGCTTAATCAAAAGGAGAAATAGATATATATATGTATTATCTTTGAACCGTGTAAGACCTAGAACTTAAAGCCTACAAGACGGACATATCTTTAAAAAAAATAAAATGTTATATGTAGATTTTAATTTAAGAGCTATTTAGAAAGATGTTAGTACTGCCCTCAAAAAAAATCATGTATTATTCTTAATTCTAGTCATATGTGTACTAAAAACAAATACGATTTATTAATAAAGTAAGTAAATTGCAGGCATGATTTAAGGACGATTAATTATCAAAGCAATTCAATTTGGCTTTAATTATGTGCTAGCCAGAGAAAGAAGTATTGGAAACAGAAAGTAGATAAGGGAGATATATCTAAATAGCATTAACACCGTGTATTTTATGCGCCTTATGCACCGAGCATTTTCAGAATAAAAAGTTGGGAATTTTAGTAGTTGATCGTTATTTATCTCCTAAGTGTGCTCAATTTAAGATTTTTCCAGTTCGAACGGTATTAAAATGTTTAACATGAAATCGTTATTAAATCAAGACTGTTTGAACTTGATTCAAATCCTTTGTTTTTTCTGAGTGTATGCCAAAATAATGTGTCATGTTCTTGGAATAAATCAATTCTGATTTCACCAAGGGGAAAAATTCAATCCGAAAAAGTATGACACGTTTTCGGAGCTTTGATTGATAGCCTTCCTTTTAAACTAATCAAGTCATTATTTGGCTTTAATGGGCTTCCCATGTTTCGAGCATGCTATCTAGACCGATAGATATCTATTATCTACTTGCTGTCGTAAGGATAGCAACTTTTGTTTTCTTAAGAATAAAGCTGATATCTCTATGTGAAAATATCCGTTTAATTCAGGTTAGATAAGATAGGAAAGACGGGCATTTTTGTATCAACTTATAACAAAATCATCAATCTTTATTTTGATAAGGTTCACAGGAGGTATTTCGAATTATTTTTCAGACTTTGGCTAGGTTGCCCAAAATTTTCTTGTATATTTGAATTCCCTTCAAATAAGTTTCGGCTCCCAAATATTCATCGTGATCATGGATGCGCATGGTGGTGTTCTTGATGGGGGAGAATCCCAAGGCGGGGATGCCCTGGGCACGAATATTTCTGCTGTCGGTGGCACCGGGACAAACAATGGGGTAGATCTTCAGGCCACTGTAATATTTTAATATTAGAAACCGACTTTATAAAACACTGGACTCAAACTTACAGTTCATCGGTGGCCGCCTTGAAGGCCAGCCAGAAGGGATTGGAGTCGTCGATCTTGGTGGGTGCCACATAGGGTTCCTTCTCGTCGAAGGAGATCTCAATGCCGCCACCGGCCTCTTCACACCAATCGTGGATCTGCTTCTCGAAGGCCACGACATCTAGGGTGATGGACAAACGCATGTCGAACACTGCCTCGAAATGAGGAGGCACCACGTTGCTCTGGACTCCACCGCTCAGCTGGGTGAGATTGATGGTGGTCACATCACCGATGTTAATGGTCTGATCCTTGGCCAAGCGTTGGACCTGCGATTCACGGAACTCCGTCAGTTTGTTCAGCACGTAGTTCAGTTTCACACCGGCAGTGCTGGGCAGGAGCATTGAACCATGTCCGGAGGTTCCACTGAAGTTCAATTTGAGTCCTAGAAAAAATTGATATGTTCTAGAATTCCCTATGATGTGGATCCTGAGAACTACTCACCCCAACGCATGCGCTCGGCATAGAACACGTAGAACAGGTCAATTTCGCTGGTGCCGCCCTCATCGAGACTGAAACCCACGTTCATGTTGCTGTAGTACTCCGTCTTAACGAACTCCTGCATTCCCAGTTCGCCACCGATCTCCTCATCGGGCACAAAGGTCACGAAGACATTGCGCTTGGGCTGGACACCACTGGCCTTGAGCAGGCGAATGGCACCCAGATATCCAGTGCCAACCGATTTCATGTCCTGCGTACCCCTGGCAAAGATCCTGCCCTCCTCATCTATATCGGCGGCGAAGGGATCATGGGTCCACTTGTCACGGAACACGGGTACAACATCCATGTGCGAGTTTAGAATGATGGAGGGCAGTTCCGGCTCGGTTCCCAGCCACTTGATGATCACCACGGGCTTGGCCTCCACGGGATATATCACGTCCACTGGGAGGTCCAGGCTGTGAGCCTGGCGCTTCAGAAACTCCACGCACTCAGCTAAAAGTTAAAATGTTCTTAACTTATCCTTTCAGAGATCCTTTGGGGCATCCTTACTGTAATCCACATTTGGCTGCACCGTTGCTATACGCAAATATTCCCGGAAAATTTTGATTTCCTCGTTATCCTCCCACTTTTCCGTGCTCATTTTGTGATCGTCGATGTTTCCCCTACCAGTTACCAAACTCGAATGTGCGGAAGTTGGCTAGAAATGAGCTTATACACTTATTTTCGTGCTGGTGATTTTCTATTTTATGGCCTTGGTTTTGAATTATTATCAAATAATGAGTACCTTATCAACCGCTAGCGGTTTCCAAAATGATAACAGCACAAATTCGTGTAAAAAACTCTCTCAAAACAAATGTCTGATAGCAAACAGTAGCCCAATTCGATATAGTTTAAATAAACCACACTCACAGATGTTTATATACCCTTATAGGCTGTGGGAAACTATTTATTATTATAAGGCTAGATCAAATATAATAAAATCGAAAACTGAATGCAAGTTCGGCAAGCCGAAAATTTTAAAATTTGATCGATAATAGTGACGAGTTGTATTTATTGGATATTATTTGGGGACAAAGTCCATGACAAATTAATCTTCACAGAAATGTGTGTTATCAGTGTTTGGCTTTTATTTGTTCAGTTTTAGATATGATTGGAAGTAATCACAACATTTATTAATTTAATTTCGGCCCTACACTCATCGCTTGAAAACATTACTCATTAAAGATAAGACCAATCGAAGCATATTGATTTCCATTCTTGAATCATCAGAGTATCGAGTATTTTATGAATCAGCAATTGCCGGGATAAGCTTCCTGTACACCTGAATTCCATGCAGATAGGTGTCGGCCCGCAAGTACTCATCGTGATTGTGCAGCAGCAGGGGGGTGTTGTTGATGGGGGAAAACCCCAGAGCTGGAACCCCAACCCGCCGAAGGTAGTAGCTGTCGGTGGCACCGGGGAAGACTCGCGTATGGGTGATCAAACCGCTTTAATAATAACAGCATTAGAAAGGAGAAATCTACTATCTCGTTATCCTTACAGTTCATCCAAGCCCTGCTTAAAGCCCAGCCAGTAGCGATTGGAGGCGTCTATCTTGGTCTCTACAGAAGGGCATTTTAAGATGAAATCCAGTTCTATCCCGCCTCCAGCCTCGTCGCACCAGTCGCGAATCTGCTTCTCCAGGGCATCCGCGTCCTGGGTGACGGCGATGCGAATATCAAAAATGGCTTCTAGCAAAGGAGGAACCACATTGCTCTGAATTCCTCCTTCAAGTTTCGTGAGATTCAAAGTGGTCACATCGCCGGCATCCAAGGAAGGGTCTTTGGCCAGTAGCTTGACTTGGGTTTCCCGGAACTTCATCAGCTTATCCAGCACATACTGGAACTTCTCGCCAGCCGTGTTCTTGTGTAGCAGCGATCCATGCCCTGATTGGCCACTGAACTTCAATCGGAGGTCTATGAAGATATTATATTATTGAGTAATGCTTAGTCCCCTAAAAAAAAAGAACTCACGCCAGAGTGTGCGCTCTGCATAGAAGACAGGATAGGATTCATCACCACTGGCGATGCCCTCGTCCAGGCTGAAACCCACATTCATAGCTTTGAAGTAATCGCCCTTCACGAATTCGGCCATGCCCAGGTCGCCGCCAGTTTCCTCATCGGGCACAAAAGTCAAATAGACAGTCCTCTTGGGCTGATAGCCACTTGATTTTAGAGCACGAACTGCAGCCATATACTGGCATCCCACGGACTTCATGTCCTGCGTGCCACGTGCATAAATCCGTCCTTGGTCGTCCATGTGGGCACCGAAGGGGTCATGGGTCCACTTCTCGGGGAATACGGGAACCACGTCCATGTGCGAGTTCAAAATAATCGCTGGCAGTTCGGGACTCTTCCCCAGCCACTTCATAATCACCACCGGTTTGGATGGCATGACAGGATGGACCACATCCACCGGTAGGCCCAGGTTGTCAGCCTGCCGCTTAAGGAACTCAACGCATGCAGCTGCAAAAGAAATGAGGATTTTAAAACAAATCTAGGGGGTATTATAGCAATCCTTACTATAGTCCACATCTGGGTGCACCGTGGGAATGCGTAAATACTCCTGGAAAATTTTAATTTCTTCATCGTTTTTCCATTGTTCTGGGCAAGTGCTCATTTTGAGTTGAATGGTTCGCGGCTGTAAAGAGACTGACTTGTAATCCTCGACGATATTTGCTTTTAAGTCTGGAAAGCTTTATCAGCTGTTGACTCTACACCCAGAGAAATCTGGTAAGAATATATAATTACAGAAGGAACGTTCTTAAAAATTTGAGCCCTGCTTGGGTATATAAAATGCGTTTTTTTTGGATAACGAACCTCAATTTCTGGTAAAGTGGTTAGGGTCATAAACCACAGATCAAGTAAGTCAGGCTTTTTAATTTATTTTTTTCATTTAAGAACGTTTAATTTTAGAAATAATATATATTTCTTTATATTTCTAAGACTTAGCCAGGGAAAGCGTTTTATCGCAATATTCTACGTGTTCTAGCTGTTAGGAGGTTGGCGAACTCTGATAAGGGAGACCAGTAGTTTTCTTTTTTTAAGCGTGCAAAGCTTCTTTTTTATAGGAAACGGTTAAAAGTAGAGCTGCCCAGTATTTGATGGTATTGTAAAGATATT